ATTTCTCCTCCTATTCTGTGTGCCCTAAGTTTCCTCAATAGCCTCTGGTGTGGAACTCTATCGAAAGCCTTACTGAAGTCCATATACACAATATCATATTCATTGCCATGATCTACCTCCTCAAACACCTTAGTGAAAAAAGTTAGTAAATTCGTAAGACAGGAACACCCCTTTGTAAAACCGTGTTGAGAATCATTAATCAATCTGTGCCTGTCAAGATGGCTACGAATTGCTTCGGCAATTATTGATTCCATAAATTTTCCCACTATGGAGGTAAGGCTTATTGGTCTATAGTTCGAAGCCAAGGACCTGTCACCTGCCTTGTAAATAGGTATTACATTTGCCATTTTCCACTTATCAGGCACTATGCCAGTTTGTAGTGATATGTTAAAAAGATTAGCCAAAGGTATGCTAAGTTCCTCTTTACATTCCTTTAACACCCTTACAAACAGTTCATCAGGACCTGGGGATTTGTTAGGTTTTAGTTTCTCTATTTGTCTGAAGACCATGTCACTAGTTACCGCAATCGTACATAGTTTATTATCATCCTGTTCTACATAATCTATTATTTCAGGAATATCGCTAGTATTTTCCTGGGTGAAAACTGAGAGGAAGTAGGTATTTAGAATTTCACACATATCCTTATCACTGTCAGTGATCTGACCAGAGTTACTCTTAAGTGGGCCAATCTTGTCCCTAATCTTACTTCTGTATACCTGAAAGAACCCTTTCGGGTTAGTCTTTGAATCCCTTGCGACCTTAGCCTCATAATCTCTTTTTGCTTTTCTTATTCCTTTCTTTATTTCTCTCTTTAATTGAATATATTGATTTCTTAACTGCCCATCCCCTCTTTTGATACGCCTATATATGCCTATCTTTTGACCAATGAGATGTTTTAATCTATTGTTCATCTATATGGGATCATTTTTGTTAGGTCTAATTTCCTTACTCGGAACAAAAGTTGTCTGCGCAGCTAGAACTATGCTCTGAAAAACGTCATATTGGCAACCAAGATCACCTACCTGACCCATAGTTAGGACATCCCAATTTAGCCCACCCAAGTAATTTTTCAGTCCCATGAAGTCGGCCAAGCGAAAATCTGGGACAGATATTTGATTGCAGTTATCTGGGTTATTCCATGATATATTGAAACTAAGTGATTTGTGATCGCTTTCCCCAAGCTCATCATTAACCTCAAGATTATTAATTAGTGAATCTTTGTTGGAAGAACCAAGTCAAGCAGATTGTTTCCTCTAGTTGGTTCTGTCACAACCTGTTCTAAAAAGCAATCCTGAACCGTATCAAGAAAGTCACTAGACTCAAGATTTCCTGTCATAGTGTTCCAATCAATTTGTCTAAAGTTAAAATCTCCCATTATCACAACATTTTCATATCTTGATGCCTTATGAATTTCGTCCCATAACAGCTTACTGCACTCCCTATCAAGGTTTGGGGGCCAATAAATCACACCCAAAATTAATTTGTCACGACCCTCGAGAAACTGAAGCCAAACCGATTCTGTGTTTGATGTTTCTAATCTTATATCATGTCTAAGACAACAATTTAAATTTTCTCTTACATACATCGCCACAGCACCACCCTTCCTGTTGACCCTATCAGTGTGGAATAGTTTATAACCCTGTATGTTGCATTCAGAAGGCATTTCTCTATCTTTCTGGTTGAACCAGGTCTCTGTTATACCAATAATATCTATATTACCTACACTTGCAAGTAATTTTAGCTCATCTATCTTATTTCTTAGACTCCTACTATTTGTATAGTAAACCTTAAGGGAGCTAGTCACTCGTTGCCCTCTACTATCTCTCTTTGTTTGTTGATCAATTGATTTGCCATTACTAGCAACTTTATTTTGAATATTGTCTTTTAAACATATCCCTGAGGTATCCCGGTAATAACTGCTGTTTTTAACCCTAATGCTGCAGCCTGATTGTTTCCCACAAACACCCATACCTCTATAATCTATCAGTTTAAATTCCTAGACAAGTCATCAATTACCCTACAAGAGTCTACATCAGAGACTTACTAGAAGACAAGGCCGTAGTCAAACTTTACTTTAATATGGTGAAAAGAGATGTGGTCTTGCCAGCCGTTCGGGATCGGTTCCCCAGTCTTTATCCCTTCATTTCAGCTGGCTACAGTAAACCCTCAATTCTTTTGTTTGGCGAACATGAAGTTCGCTCACCAGAGGGTGTTCAGCGGGGTGATCCACTCGCTCCACTTCTCTTCTGCTTGAAATTAAGAGAACTAACTTCCAGCCTGTGCAGCGAGCTCAACATCTGGTACCTGGATGATGGCACTCTGGCAGGTACTGAAGAATCCCTGCTAGAGGACCTACAGCTGGTGAAGACACAGGGAGAAGCCTTGGGACTCATTCTCAATCCCTCCATATGTGAAATCATCACAATGAACCAGGAAATTATCAGGAGTGTGCGAACAATCCTCCCTGAAGTCCCTACTACCACTCCAGCACCGCTGGGTGACCAGGCCATCAACGCAGTCCTCAACGACAAACTGAGTGATCTGAAGAGATTGGAGAAGAGAATAAGAGATCTCGATGCCCATGATGCCCTGTATCTCTTCACAAGTTTTCTTACTCTTCCAAGACTCACCTCCTGAGGTGCGCACACTCTTTTGACAATTCAACACTCAACGAATATGACTCACTCCTGAGATCAATCTTTAAGAAGTCACTGAATCTGTCACTGGAAGATCAGCAATGGGATCAGGCAACCCTCCCAGTGAGACTGGAAGGTATAGGGGTGCGCAAAGCAACGTAGGAAGCCTTACCTCTATTTCTGTCTTCGTGTTTGGCTTCCAGTGGATTAGTCAAGGAGATTGTCCCCGAACACTTGAGAGGTGGGGTAGGAGTTCAAGACCCCAGGTTCATTGAAGCAGCCGTGAGGTGGGACACCCTACAATAGACCAGCTCCTCCCAAAGAACACAAACAGTCCCACAGGGACAAACCGATCATGGGAAAAATCGCCAACACAATGCTCACCAAAGTTTCAGGAAAGGACAAAGCTCATCTCCTAGTGGTGAAGGCACCACACTCAGGAGATTTCCTTCTAGTTGTTCCCAATTCCTCTCTGGGCCCTCAACTTGACCCAAAGGCCATTCGGATTGATGTTTCTCTTCGCCTAGCAGCCCCCACACTCACCGAACATAGATGTATTTGCAACGCCTGATCAATTCGGACTTCATGGCCTCGTGTGTCACACATCAGAAAGGAAGTATGCTAGACAAGAGAAGGTCAACAACATCACAAAGAGAGGCCTCGCCACAGCCCATTACCCAGCCCAATGGGAACCCCAAGTACAGAGATCTGACGGAAGTCAAAAGCGTCCTGATGGAGCCACTATGCTACCCTGGAAGGATGGTAAGTAGATTGCCTGAGACCACACCTGTGCCGCCACATTGGCAGACACTTACTTGCCATACTCCATAGATGAAGGGGTGGAACTGCCAGCTACAGGGAGACCCAGAAGACAAGGAATGCCTGCAGCATTTTTGGCACGCAGCCCACCGCCGGGGAGCTGGACGAAGTGTTCGAGATGTAGCTCTGAGATATTATCAGTGTTGTTCTACTGTTGTAATTTTGTCAATGTTTATTGTTTTTAAATAAAGTCTTCATAGAATGCAGAATACAGGGGGTGGTAGGAGAAAGCAATATTCAAACAGCATCAGGGAGAACCTAGAGTTTTCCCTGAAGCAAGTTTATTCTTTTCTCTGAGGATGAGGGTCCTTTATATATTTATTTTTAAATATATATATATATATATATATATATATATATATATATATATATATATATATATATATATATATATATATATATATATATATATATATATATATATACTGTGAAATAATAGAGAAATTCCAAGCACTTTCGTGACTACTCACATTATCAAGGAACAATAAAAGTAATGGATCAAAGGAAGGCACATAAAGGGTCTAGACTACACCTCATTATCACATTCCAAAACAAAGCAACACCTGATACATGACTCATAAGAAAGAGAACACTGCAGCAGGCCCGCTGGCCCAACTAGACAGGTCCTTCACACAACCCACAGACAAACTATTCTACCCAAGAATTAAGAATTTTAAAATTTATTATTTGTCCAATGTATTATTAAATTCTTCTCAAATTCTATTAATTATAAATGGATCTAATTTATATAAACCAAAGGAAATATTCATATTATTGTCAAAACTGCTTTTTATGAAACAAGATTCAATTATATTCCTGTCGACCATGGACTTGCTTGATACAACTTTCTCAACTTTTTGAAAATCAATTGGATGGTTAAAATCTCTCATAAGAATAAATAGAGCAGTGGAATCTTGTCCAGTTCTACTGCTGTATTTATGTTGTTTTAATCTTAGTTCTAGATTTTTACCAGTTTGACCGTAACAAACTTTATGGCAAATTTTACAAGGAATCTTATAGACACATCCGTCAGCATTTTGGGGGGAATTCTTTATCAAAAGTTTTTTTTACTGTATCAAGATTTTTAAATACAACTTTGATGTTAAAAGTCTTAAGAAGAGAAGGCATATCAACCAATTTGGGCCAGCGAGCCTGCTGCAGTGTTCTCTTTCTTATGTGTCGCGCATCAGGTGTTGCTTTGTTGTGGGATGTGATAGTGAGGTGTGGCCTAGACCCTTTATATGCCTTCCTGGATGCATTTGATGCATTACTTTTATCGTTCCTTGATAATGTGAGTAGTCTCGAAAGCGCTTGGAATTTCTCTATTCTTTCACAGTGGTTGTTTTGCATATTCTGAAATCACCTGTTTACTGTGATCTTATTGTGTGTATATATATATATATATATATATATATATATATATATATATATATATATATATATATATATATATATATATATATATATTATATAATAATAATAATAAGAATAAAGGCATGTAGAGTACAGAAAGCTCAGCGGGGTTAGCAGTGCTGGGTGACTCACCAATGCTGAAGGCAATCTTGTCGAGGACGACGAGGGAGAGAAGAAGAATGCCACAAGTGAAGAAGCAGAAGGAGATGGACGGTACGGCGACCCAGTCTCTTAGTGATGGGTGCTGTCAGAGAGTACGCTGGCACCCCACCACCCCCAACAGCATCATGTACAGGAAGGGTGAACTACCACACATAGAATACAATCTACCGTTAAAACACACATTAGTACATACACAGATACCCTCCCTAATATTTAATGCTCATAGTCAAATGTGCGGCACTGTGCAGATGCATGGTCCAATACTTAGACAAGATGTACTCCACTATGGGTCCCGCCCACCTGCGAAGATGCCTGCAACTTCTCCGCCTCCATTCTGGTTCAATATATAAATGACCATCCTCCTGCTGTTTCGGATTAATCAATGTAAAACAACTAAAACACCTATCAAGGCTGAGGAAATGATCATCCATCTTCCACTGTCTCTGGTAAAAAAACATCTGCATTGGATTAATACATCACACGGTTGGCAGACGTCTTCATAATAAAGATAACCAGGTTTTGCACATGTGTTTTATACCAGTAATGTAAAGAACTCACCATTAATGAAAATATGAGGAAAACCCAATTGAGTATTCTCCAGTTATTGCTCGGAATACAACCATTCCAGTTTCATTATAATGCAAGTAAATTGGAAAATATTCATGTACAAAGTATGAACTTTAGTGGGTGCCATCCTGTCTATAAGTTTCATCAGCTGATAAAGACCGATCCCATTTCAAAGAGGGATACTCACTTTATACAAGGTAAATATATTGCACTTTTCTCTAAATTAAATTAGTAAAATGCCACCTACAAACTTCAATAAGAATCTCAAACCTCTTTTATGAAGGCTACACTAATTAAGATTGAAACACTTATGCACCGTATGGGAATCTTATTTAGGAAACGTTTCGCCACACAGTGGCTTCTTCAGTCCAATACATAGCAGAGAGGTGGAAGAAGAGGAGGAGATTGAGGTAATCAGTCCCTCAGCCTGAAGTCGATGTGTTCAGTCCATCAGTCTTGTAGAATGTACCTCCTCTTCTTGCACCTCTCTGCTTTGTATTGGACTGATGAAGACACTGTGTGGCGAAACGTTTCCTAAACAAAGATTCCCATATGGTGCATAAGTGTCTCAATCTTCAACTTGTGGGTTTTCAAAACTATTCATCACAAGGCTACACTAATGCTGAAAGTTTGAAGCTAATCGGAAGAGTCTTTCTAAAATTATTGCACGAAACTAAAATCCGAAATGGTCCATATAAAACTGCACATAACAGAAGTTGCATAAACCTTTCTCTAGTTATACTAGTTACAGTACCCCAACATTAAAAATTTGAAGCCCATAAGATTAGGCACTCTCAAGTTATAAACAAAAAATTGGAACAAAAAAAATCAGCTGACCCTAAAGGGTACTAATTAAATGGATCTAATATATCAACTTTTCTTCTAGAGAATGTGCTTCTCATGCATAATATTACTCTAAAATAAATCTCAGCACTTAAACTAATTACTGCTGTTCAATCTCAAAACCACATTCCTGCCTTTAACATCAGCAAATGTCAGGTGATGACTAGATGCATGAAAGCAAGGTACGAAATGACCTGAGGCTAATGTTGACCCCTTCCCCGCATCAAGTACGAGACCGTCGGTGTAGCTCACCTGAAGGAGTTGGAGCTGAGGGGAAGACCCAGGTACACGATTCCTTGCAGGAAATATATGGTGACCAGTAAACACATAATCTTCCTCATGCAGGAGCTTCTCACCAAAGCCACTGGTCCAGCCCACCATGACCCTATGCCGTCTTCCGCTCCGAGACTGTTTGTGGAAATTTTGCTAGTGGTATTGCTCTTGTTGCCATCTTTGTGGGTCTTCATTGAGCCATCCCCTAGGTTGTGTTCCAGCTTGATGACAGCGCATCTCATCTGGGAGTTCTCATCACTCTCAACCACAGCAATCTGCATGTTTCTAGGGTCCGGCCCCTTACATGACTTGTCATTAGTGGTTACGATGTCCTGTGTTGCAAAGAGGTATTAGAAAGTTTTACTAATTTTCCTGATACAGCAGAACCTCCACTTACAAGTGCGACTATTTCAAGATATGAGCAGTCGCTCAGTCGATACTTTGCTTCCAGATGCGAGTGAAATTCCAAGATGTGAGCGGGCCTCCTTGACGCTGGTGAGGAGCTCTTGATCTAGGGAATTAGATTTCAGTTGTTTGTTGGACTATTTTATTGAAGCTTGAGCAATGTGTGATGGAAAGATGCTTCTTAGCATACACCAAAATTGAAAGAAATCGGACCATAAATAACGGAGTTCACTTCTTAGCCTTTAGCCGCCTCTTAGCTGTATATTTTCGTATGGTTTTTATGGTTGTATTCTCGTTTTTTTTTATCTCATTTGATAGAATGGAAGATTTATTACAGAAATAGATATGATTTAGATTGCTTTCAAAACAAAAAGTACCTTGAAATTGAGCTCAAAGTAGTGGAAATGTTCGATTCTTTTTCGGTGTTCAAGAGTAAACAAATGATGTCACCGTTCAATACATGTCCACCTGGCCAGTCTCATACGCAGTCATGAATGGGTTGACATTATTTTTACAATTATTACAATAATGAAGTAGTCTGCATAACAGTAAATCTTCTATTTTTTATGCGAATAAAAATTCCAAATGGAATACGTGCATACTAATTAATAATAATAATAATAACAATAATAATAATAATAATAATAATGCATTGGAGCTATGTAATGATGCTTGCGTAAGTCATTTCTGAAACATTCTGAAAGAGATGAAGAAACAAACCTCCTTGGACAGTTCTTTATTGAAACGCCCTTCAGATGAAAGTGTGGCAGATTAGAGATTTTTTTTTTTTTGTGTGCAGGCGTGGAGAAAAAGCCAAAAATACGTGAACAGTGAAGTAACATTAAAATAAAAATTGTAGCCGTTAAGTACGTTGGAGCTATGTAATGACACTTACTGTGCCCAGCATTTCTTCTCCATCTCCAAGGTAAATGCTGTATTACTACATAATTTCTTTACATTGTGTATTATTATTATTATTATTATTATTATTATTATTATTATTATTATTATTATTATTATTATTATTATTATTATTATTGTTGTTGTTGTTGTTGTTTTCCTTATGAAACTACGTTGTGATGCAGTTTGCCTTACAAACACGCCGTTTTCTATTATAACAAGAGCATCGGAAAGTATGTAGTCAGAAGCAGGAATGGCCACTGTGGTGGCCCTATACAACCCAACAACAACAAATATGGCTCCCGCTGCCTACCGCTCCTCACATACATAATGACATATTTCATTGATTCTAGTGTATATATCATGTTTCCATGTTACTAATATTATTTATGTCATATTAGATGAATTATAATGGATAAATAAGCCATAGAGTTGATATTAGCTAAATATTGAAGTATTTTGTCACGCCCGGAATTCCACTGGAACGGATTAATCACATTTCAATCAATTTAGCTGAGGAAAATTGACTCAACAAACGAGGAAATCGAGATGCGAGCAAGGTCACAGAACGGATTAAACTCGTAAGTAGAAGTTCCACTGTTCTTGCATAGTAAAAGAGATGCACACACTGAAAGGGAGACAGGTACACAAAAATTTGCACTAGTCTAATGGAAAAAACTGTTTAATAGAAATCTTTTCATTAAAAATACAGTGAGCAGATATTTGGTACACAGAGTTAGAAAGAGAAATATTTGACTGGATTCTGTCGGTCCCTAATATAGTAGAATTTTTTTTTTTTTTTGATGTTTATTTTTGGGTGGTAAAGGAATTCAACTTTCACCAACTCCACCCAGTCCCATCCCTTAACCCTAAATTCACTTTCCTACCCTCGTGCCACCATCATGACGTTCATGATGTCAGGCACACCTTTAATGATTGGACCTGTTATGCTGTCACATAAGACTAAATCAACGTAAGACTAAGAACAGCATCACAAGAAACTCCTATATTTTTTACTGACAAACAAAAATGCCCCTTGAGGTGACTGTCATCCTTGACCATGGTGTCACTCTCGGAGTGACCCACCCTCACTTCACAGCTGTATTAAGCATCTCATACTGCCTGGTTTCCTTTGAGCATGTTCTGTTCCTTATACACAACACATCCTTGAATTCATACAGTGATGTCATAGCCATTGTCACCATAAACCTTCTTGCCTCAGAAAGAAATATATTCTTATGGAATTCTGCTTAAAATCAGGCAAGACTACTCCATTAACTCACATGAGCTCTCCTGAAATGCCTAGGCATGCTAGTGACTTTCTTTGTAATTATTTTGTAATATGTAAACCACACATTGTAAGCTTTGCAAGGCAATGAACATTTTCATTTTTATTTTCATACAAGCAAGCAACCACTTACAAATCTGCTCTCATTTGTTTTTTTAAATTTATGCGCCTTTTTTACTCACTTCATATGTAGCACTAAAGTTTCTGATGCTCTTCATCATAATTCATATTTAAGAGTTCATCACTGGACTCTTCATAATATAGTATCTACCCCTCCTGATGGTGTTTCCCAGTCATTTAATGATTCACATTTTCTTACTTTAGTCACCCAAAAAATCTGTAGCTAATTTCTTGGAGTTCCCAGCACAGCAACATGACATGTTTCCAAGGAATTCTTCCTTACATTACGTATCCCATGTGTATATGGACGTTGTAGGCTTGATTGTGGATATTGATCTATACAATGCATGCTTAGATGTGTGTGGGTCAAAAGCCATTAGCAAGTTTTCCTTGTGCTGGTGTCAGCATATGCAACACTGGTAAATTTCCAAAGATTATATTGCACTTTGTGTGTAATTTAAACAGTACACTCTCCCTATTGCCTGTCCGAAATTAAAGAATCTTTTACATCATTCATTAGATAAGCATCAACAACAATCACATAGAATGTTAACTGTGTGAAAGCTTTCTAAAGGTTTCCCAAGTTTCGCAATTATCAACAATGTATTGAGAAAGGCAGGAGTATACAACAACAAAGTTGGGACTAAAGGAAAGGGGCGAGGGTTTCTGGAGTGATAAATAAAGGAACATTGAAAAATTATGGAAAATGTTTTAGTGCATAATTATGGCAACATTTTGATGTAATCATTTTGTTTCCATCATATTTCTAAGTATGTTTTTCCTTAAATGTAATTTTTGTGTTCTTACTCTCATATGAAATACAGGTTGGCAATTAGTGTTTTTTTTTTCTCCAAAAATTATGACTCATGATTTTTTCATTCAAAATATATTACATAGCAACATCTCTGAGGACTCCAGTCAAGAGAAGGGACTCATGACAGCTCGGTCACCTCTAGGGTCGGAAGAAGTGTTGACGTGTGCAAAACACTGAAGTTTGGCAGGCCTTAACCGTAGTTTCATGGAAAACAATTTATGGAACAACTGTGTTCCATTTTTTGAGAAAAATATTAACAGGAGTGTAATGATTTTTGCACATGTTATTGAGTAATGATGGTTCTATGAACACCCAGGGAGGATTTGCGATTTTTGTTACAGCTTTTGTTTTACTGATTTTTTTTCTCCCCAAAAAAATCCAAAAAGAAAATCACAAACTTCAACATTTTTTATTATGGAATCTACTGAATTTTCGCTAAACAGCATTGGGTTAACAATTATCTAGCCTTTATCTTTCATCTGATGTCTACTAGAGCATTGTACGTCTTCACAATTTTGAGGAAAAAGGAAAGTTTTATACCCTATAAAATTTGGCATAATTTAAATTTTTCTCTCTAACTTCTAGGCAAAACGTCACAACAAATACAGAGTGTACATTTTTCAATGCTGTGTAAATCACTGTGGAAGTCTCATTGAAATACAACCAAAAAAAAAAAGGGGTGATTTTGTTAGGAAAGTTGTGTGCAGTGGGTAATTCGAAAAGACGGCATCTTTGAAGCCTAGAAGATAGACTATTTTAACAGATAATTATTTAATAGGATGATTGTGATCTCTCATATGATAGGAAAGAGCATTGTAGGTCAGTGGTGCCTCGTAGCTAAAATTAGTGGAACTGCCGCGTCAGAAAATTTTTAGACATTGCTTTAATATTGCGTAAAACAAAACAAACATATAAAAAGAAAATTTAAAGATGAGCTTGATAAAATCATAAACAAAAAAGTATTTTTTTTTTTTGCTTACCTAAATTGTTACCGTTCAAGCTTGATTCATTCATTTAAAAACGAAATCCATTCTTCTTGTTCTACTTTGCTCGAAAAGATTAATAATTTTCTCCTTGATGTCTTGATGACTGTTGAGGAAATTTTTCTCCATTGACAGCACTGCAAGTGTACTTAGTCTTTCAGGAGTCATAGTCCTACTTAGAAAAGTCTTTATTTTTTTTAATGTTGAGAAGCAGTGTTCTGGCTCTGATGTTGCCATGGTAGTGTTCTGGCTCTGATGTTACTATGGCAGTGTTCTGGCTCTGATGTTGCCATGGTAGTGTTCTGGCTCTGATGTTGCCATGGTAGTGTTCTGGCTCTGATGTTGTCACGGCAGCGTTCTGGCTCTGATGTTGTCATGGCAGCGTTCTGGCTCTGATGTTGTCATGGCAGTGTTCTGGCTCTGATGTTGCCATGGTAGTGTTCTGGCTCTGATGTTACTATGGCAGTGTTCTGGCTCCGATGTTGCCATAGTAGTGTTCTGGCTCTGATGTTACTATGGCAGTGTTCTGGCTCTGATGTCGTCATGACAGCATTCTGGCTCTGATGTCGTCATGGCAGCGTTCTGGCTCTGATGTTGTCATGGCAGTGTTCTGGCTCTGATGTCGTCATGGCAGCATTCTGGCTCTGATATTGTCATGGACGCGTTCTGACTCTGATGTTGTCACGGCAGCGTTCTGGCTCTGATGTCATGGCAGTGTTCTGGCTCTGATGTTGTCATGGCAGCGTTCTGGCTCTGTTGTTGCCATGGCAGTGTTCTGGCTCTGATGTCGCCATGGCAGTGTTCTGGTTCTGGTTTTGTCAT